AAAGAGAAATTAATGGGTCAAAATGAATGCAATCTCCTTTAAAAGAAAGACAAATCTCAGATAGCATCCCTGAAAAGATTTGTCTTAATTTTTAAAAAGACAAACAAAGAGGAGGGAAGGAGGAGAAACAGGAGGAAGAAAGAAAAGAAAACCCAAGAAGAGTCAAAAATTCAAAGATAAACTTATACTGGAATAAAACTTGGTGCTGTAACAGTATGAATAAGTAATTGATAATATTTAGGTTATTGGTTAGATGATAGGTTCATAAGTGGTTATATAATTATTATAACATACATGTATATTACTTATGATGTTTGGTATACATATCATATACTTTTAAAAATTTTATTTATTATACTATAAGTTCTAGGGTACATGTGCAGAACGTGCAGGTTTGTTACATAGGTATACACGTGCCATGGTGGTTTACGGCATATATCACTCCATCATATTTTTTAAACTATAAGAAAAAAAGCAGTATGGAAGAAATCCTACCAGAAAACATTCTCAGGTAGTCCTGGATAAAAATAAAATGTAAACCCAGGCAGGGTGGCTCACTCCTATAAACCCAGCACTTTGGGAAGCCAAGGCGTGATCACCTGGGGTCAGGAGTTTGAGACCAGCCTGGCCAATATAGTGAAACCCCATCTCTACTAATAATACGAAAAAAATTAGCCAGGCATGGTGGCGCATGCCTGTAATCCAAGCTACTCAGGAGGCTGAGGCAGGAGAATTGCTTGAACCTGGGAGGCAGAGGTTGCAGTGAGCCAAGTTTGCGCCACTGCACTCCAGCCTGAGTGACAAAAGCGAAACTCCATCTCCAGAAAATAAATAAAATGTAAAGTGTACATTCATCCAAACACAAAACTTTCCTACAGTCCTTATTCCAGGAAAGTCCGGTCCCAAAGACTCAACAGGTCACTCAAACCTGGGAACAGATCTTAAAAGTTCTACCACACAGTAAATACAAATGATTCCCAACTTAGGACAGTTTGACTTAGGATTTTTGAACTTTATAGTGGTGTAAAAGTGATACACCATTCAGTAAAAAAACATACTTTGACCCCTACAACCATTCTGTTGTTCACTTTCAGTACAATATTCAATAAATTACATGAGCTATTCAATACTTTATTATAAAATAGGCTTTGTTAGATGATTTTGCCCAACCATAGGCTAATTTAAGTATTCTAAGCACATTTAAGGTGGGCTAGGCTAAGCTATGATGTTCACCTTATAATATTTTCAATTTACAACTGGTTTTTCAGGACAGAGCCCCATCATAAGTCAAGGAGCATCTATATTTACATTGAGTTATGAGGAGTCATTGAATTTTAAGTACAAGTTATTCACTGAATTACTAGGACAGGGCATCTGGTAAATAATTCTATTAGGGTTTTGGTTTAATATTTTTCTTCCAAGAAAAAGTTGTAATATTTTAAAAAGTTTGTATCTCTCAAATTATTCAAAAATGAGTAAGGCAGACTAAAGAATGCTTGATATTCTCTCTC